TTAAGGTAAGGCGATACGCCACTTCTCCAATCCGCCCAATGATATCAAGGGGGCCAATAAATCTAGGCGATAACTTCACATTTCAGCCAAACCTCATTAACCCCTTCCTAGGAGAGATCTTCAAGAATACATGATAACCGACTTCAAAAGATGAGGGTCATCTTCTTCTATCTGCATAGCTCTTTTGTCGACTTTGGGCGGTGACTAACCTTTTCCGAATGAAGGCTATTTTCTCAGAAGTTTCACGAACTAGATCCGGGCCTAACAAAGATGAATCTCTCACTTTAGTCCAACACACCGATGATCTACAGGGATGCCCATACAATGCGTCGAAAGGTGCCATCCCAATACTTGTTTGAAAGCTATTATTATAAGCAAATTCAACTACGGGTAGGTGTTTCTCCTAAGACTGTTTAAAATCTAATGCACAAGCCCTCAACATGTCCTCTAAAATCTGGATAACACGTTTAGATTGCCCGTCGGTTTGTGGGTGGTATGCAGTACTAAAGTTCAATTGAGTACCCTAGGCACTTTGAAGACTCTGTCATAACCTAGCTGTAAAGCAAGGGTCTCTATCAGGCACTATAATCATTGGTACCCTATGGAGGCGAACAATCTCATGAACATAAAGTTCAGCTAGAAATTCTATGGAGTCTCTCATGCTCATAGCGAGAAAATGAGCAGACTTAGTGAGTCAGTCGACAATCACCCATACCGCATCATTACTTCTTTGAGTCCTAGGAAGGCCAGAAACAAAGTCCATGTTGATGTGTTCCCATTTCCATTTAACAACTAGAAGAGGTTGCAACAATCCAGTCGGTCTTTGTTGTTCAGCCTTAACTTGTTGACAAGTCAGACATTTGGACACAAATGAAGCTATATCCTTTTTCATACCCCTCCACCAAAAATTGGCAGCTTAGGTCATGATACATTTTGGTGCCCTCCGAATGCACAGCTAGGCGAGAATGATGGAAGTCCCTCAAAACTTCATTTCTCACGGATTCAGGTACAAACAATCGATCATGAACATTTAAACCCCTATCTTCTTTCCCGTGATGAATTCTCCCTGTAATTGCCTCTATTTCCAGATCACCTAGTTGTGCTTCAATTACTCTTGCAACAAGGGTTGATTGTAGGTGGTAAAGAGGGTAGCTTGTTTCGGAGATTCACTGAGTTGTAAAGAAAATTCATTGGCATCCCCCATCATCTTCCATTCCCTTATCGCTAGACTGGCCATTGTACTTACTGATTTTCTACTCAAGGCATCCGCTACTATATTGGCTTTACCAGGGTGGTAATGTATTTCAATATCATAGTCCTCCAAAAACTTCATCCATCTCTGTTGGCGTAGATTCAAGTCTTTTTGGGAGAATAAGTATTTCAGGCTTTTGTGGTTAGAGAAGACTTCAAATTTTTCACCATAAAGGTAGTGTCTCCACAACTTCAAAGCAAAAACAACAGTGGCAAGTTCTAGGTCATGTGTCGGGTAGTTTCTTTCATGAGTCTTTAGTTAGCGCGAGCCGTATGCTACCACATTTCCCTCTTGCATTTGAACACATCCCAATCTCTCTCTTGAGCCATCACAGTATACAGTATACCGTATAACCTAACCCTCGTTTTGGGATGAAAAGAATTGGAGCGGTGGTCACTCTAAACTTTAGTTCTCGGAAGGAATTCTCACATGCTTCGCTCTAAACAAACCTTATCCCCTAATGGGTGAATCTAATCAATGGTGATGCTAAGGAAGAGAAATGCTTTAAAAATCTATGGTAGTAATCGGCTAAGCCCAGAAAGCTATGAATTTCTGAGGTGTTCTTAGGTTGCTCCCAATTTTGCACAACTTCTATTTTTGAAGAATCCACCATAACTCCATCTCCCGAAACCACGTGACCCAAGAACTTCACTTCCAAAAGCTAGAATTCACATTTCTTATATTTCGCATATAATCGATGCTCCTTAAGAAGTTGCAGGATAGTACGAAGATACCTTTCATGCTCCTCTTCGAAATGTGAATAGATAAGAATATCATCTATAAAGATGACCACGAATTTTTCAAGAAACTCCCAAAAGATCCTATTCGTTAGATCCATGAATGTGGCTGGGGCGTTAGTCAACCCAAAGGGCATAACGAAGAACTCATAATGACCATATTGGGTACGAAAGGCAGTCTTGGGAATGTCCTCTTCTCTAACTCGGATTTGGTGATAACCCAACCTTAAATCTATCTTGGAGAAATAACGAGAGCCCTTAAGTTGGTCGAAAAGATCGTTTATTCTGCGCAAGGGGTATTTATTCTTAGCTGTGGCTTGATTCAATTTACGGTAATCTATGTACAATCTTAAGGACCCACCTTTCTTCTTTGTAAACAAAGCCGAGGCTCCCCAAGGTGAGGTTGTAACAACCCCAACCTTTGATTTACATTAATTCGTGGTTAAATAAGCTTAACCAGTAATTAAGAGAAATTTTGAATTAAATTGCATGTGAGTGTTGCGTTATTTGTGTTTCTATCTGTTTAACGTAAAAAGACCTCTGTTTTCATTACGGATTGTGAATTGAAGGCCTTGTCGGCATCTGATTCAGAAATTGACTTGATTTATGTGATAATTAGAATTTTATGATAGGTTTAATTAAAATTGGCCTCGGAATGATTAAATTAGAATAATTAATGCCAATATGAATAGCTTAAGCCAAGCTTAATTAATCACCACTAAGCAAGCTTATATAAGGCTTAAGATGATTAAGGAACATGACTCACACTCTCATTTTATCATCTTTAAGGCAACATAACGTAGAGAGAGAGGGGGGAGAAGAGATTGAGCTCAACAGGGAGAATTCTTGGGAATCAAGCTTGAACCCTTTGAATTCACACCTTAGGTATGAACATTTCCCTTAAATCTTGGAAATAAGGTACATAGGAAGTGAATTCATGAGTCATGTAAGAATATTTTCATGAAATTGATGAGAATAAGTTAGAATTATGTCAATCATGGAAGAAATGAGCTAATTGTATACATGCATGCATAATTCATGGATTTTGAGTTTTGATTTCAACAAATTCTTACATGCAAGAACCTATTTTTGTTAAGTTATGGGATCTCATTGTGGTTTTGCACCTTAACACTTCATTTGTACATGTTGGGAAGATTTGAGTTCATGATAATGCGTGCGTGGTGTGTACACTCATAATTCAAGTTTGAATTTGAAGAATCCACTTGCTTTTGGGCTTTGATTTTGAGTAATGATTCATAATTCATGATGTTTTGCAAGTTTACAAGAGTTTCCTTAAGATTTTGGCCCAAGAAAACATAATTTACAGCTTTGGGGTTGAGTTTGAAGATTGGAAGCAATTCTGGAAATTTTAGAATTCTGCTTCCACGCTCAAGTGACAAATCTTGCACTCGAGCGACCATCTTTATTTTTGCACTTCTGCTTGAGCGACCAAAAGTCTGCTCAAGGGTAAAATGCATGCTTCTAGAAGTTTCCGTGTTTTGCAAACCGCTCGAGCGACAAAAGTTGCACTCGAGAGAGGGCATGAGTCTCACGCTCGAGCGAGCATTGAGCAAGCATCGAGCGGAAAAATCAAGCAACCAGCACTTTTGAAAAGTTTACAGGTCGCTCGAGTGAAAGAATGTGCACTCGAGCGACCACTCGCATTTTGCATGTCCGTTCAAGCAAAGAAAGCGGCGCTCAAGCGAGACCCCTATTTTCAACAATTTTTGTTAAGTGTTTTCAAGTGCATTTTAGCATCCTCATTGCATCCTAGGCACTCGTAGGCCAAGATTAAGACAACATAATGAGGGTAAGCAGTAGAAACACACCAAGATAAGAAATAATTAAGTTACTATTTCTAAGTGTGTAATTCAGTATGTGTTCGTTTTGTACCTGTGTAGGTTACGCACCACAAGATATCTGAATTACCTACTCTATTCGTTTACTTGGAGTAATTCAGTATGTGTTCGTTTTGTACCTGTGTAGGTTACGCACGACAAGATATCTGAATTGCCTACTCTATTCGTTTACTTGGAGCCATCTGTTATTTGTGAGTAATAACTCTATAAAGTTATGTTTAACTTTAATTATTTCCTGATGATATGAAATGATTAGTTTTCTGAAACGCTATGTTTTGTATGAATGAATGATTGTTCAAATTTTTGAAATGTATTCATGGTATCCTTAGCATCATGTAATATCTTATGTCCCTTTATGGGTCATCAGAAACGTCTCTGTGCACATGAGTCATTGGAATGCCTTTGTGGTCGTCCCTTTATGGGTCATCAGAAATATCTTTGTGTACGTGAGTCATCGGAATGCCTTATGGCTATCCCTTTATGGGTCATCGAAATGCCTTCACGATTGTCCCTTCGTGGGTCATCGGATTTGTTAACGCTAATGGATGTGTCACGCATTATAATGTGTAATGTACTAACTTTGATTATGAATATGAACATGTATAAGAATCTGTTTCTGATTTGAAATCAAAATATGCATTAGACTCTGTTTCTACATGGACATCATTCAGTAAACTCCTTACTCTGTTATTATTCACTGGGCTCCAACTCACTATTTATATTATGTACGTAGGTGATCAGGAACATGATCAGGCCCAGAGTTGATGGCCTAAGATTCCATTTTGTCAGCCAGCCTTTGTGCCTCTCGAGGAGGTTCCGGATTAAGTCAAGTCTAGTGGCTATATTTTTATGAATTTATAAGACTTTGTTTATTTTGATTTACAGACAAGTTTTCTGTTTATATCTACATAGAGTGACATGTAAATACTGTATGTTTTGGTGTCACTCGTATATTTATAAAAGTTTAAGATTATCTGTCCAATGTATGTTCTCATAGCTCGATGGACTATATATATTTTATGTATTTGCTTCTGTAGCCCCTAATTATATGTTATTCTATTAAGAGGCCTTTGGTAATCCAAGCATTACCAAAGGTGCTAGGGCATATAAAGTCCTTACTAAGTAACTCTTTTAATTGTTCTTTCAAAGCCACTAATTCAGTCGGGCAAACCTATATGGTGACAAGAAGATAGGTGTCGTACCCGGAAGCAAGTCTATGGTGAACTCTGCTTCCCTATGAGGAGGTAACTTTGTAAGATCGCCAGGAAAGACGTCGTGGTATTCATACACTACCTTCAGGAATTCATCCCGGACTACATCACTTCCATCATCCAAAAGGGTTGCTAAAAGAGAATTAAATTGACCCTGGCCACGTGGGTAGTATGGGAAGGGTAAGGATCTACCGTACCTATCTCTCAGAAACGTGAAACAATCACCGCTTGCAGTACACACTATAACTTTCTCCCGATGACAATCTATAATCGCCCGGTAAGTGAACAACCAATCCATTCCGAGGATAACGTCAAAACCGGACATTTCCAACATTACAAAATTAAATGGGAGTTGTCGACCCGCCACCTCAATTACACAACCCAGACATCTATGGGTTAGAGTGACCTTACCTCCTACCGGTGACTCCATTGTAAATGAAGCTTGCAGTTGCCTACTCTCTAACCCCAACAATGATGCAAACGATGTGGCGATAAGTGAATGCGATGCCCCAGTGTCAATCAACACACTAGCCCAAGTATTGAAAATAAGAAATGTACCTCTTACAACTGATGGCCCCGACACTTGCACAAAAGCGGTGACAACGTACACTCTTCCCTGTGACCTCTGCTCCCCTATGTCACCTCTCTGAACATAAGCTTGTTGTGCGGATTAAGCAGACATGGCTCCCTGAACTGTCCTGGAGGCTTGTCCTAACTGAGTCGGCTAATAAGATTACCTCTGTCCCTGACCCATCTGTAGACCTCCAGACTGCCTAGACACTGCCACACCTAGAGTCCCTACTTTCTACAGCTAGAACTTCTTCAAATGCCTCGATTGACCACATTGATAACAAGATTATGGCTGACTCCAATTCTGAGGTTGACCCTATGAACACACAGGCTGGGACCGTGCTCCACCTTTCTGTCCGTACTCTGCAGCCTTGTGACCCATTTGGCCATATCCATAACAAGCACCGGTAACTCGAGTCATATTTCTCGAACTCCCGCCCACCACATAACTAGAGGATATAACTTGTTGTGGAGGTGATTGTAAGGATGATGATGAACCCTTAGACCTCTTTGAGGAACTCGTGTCACTCCTAGCATCTGAATGTCTTGCTCTTTTCAATCTTTGCCTTGCCTCTTTAGCCTCTACAGTAATCTCTACATGAGCTACGACTTTAACTAAACGGTCGTAATCACGTATCATATTGCCAACCGCTTTCATCAAGATTTTCAGTCTCAACCTTTTAGACAAGTCCTTTGAGATCTTAGACATTCAAGAAAATGAGTTGTGAGTGCCATTAGCGGCCTACCAATTGAAGAGGGAGGCCGGGTAGTGGTGGAAATCCATAAAACATAGGGTTGAACATACCTGGGAAGCATTTGTGCAAGCTTTCGAAGATAAATTCCTCCCTCCCATGGCTAGAGAACGGTTGAGGAAGCAATTTGAAGGGTTCTTGCAACTAGATGCATCAGTGATGGAGTTCGAGGCCAAATTCACTAGCATATTGCATTTTTGCACCCGAATTAGTGGCAACGAATGATCGAAGGTGACTTTTCTCTAACCATTCGTCAGCTTTCATCGAATCAGGCTCGTCGCCATACTCGATGGGATTGGAACGAAAGAACTCCTAGCCGCGTGCTCGGCTCTCAATATTTCCATGGACTTTCGTAGAGCCCCTGCCATTTTCCTAGCCAAGACCCCTATAGCTTCTTGGGCTGATGGAATTGGTATATTTTTTTGACCTACTCCTTCTTCTTGTGGATGGATCTCGGGTTGGGCTGGAATGTTCTGGTCTCCCCGGCGGGGTCTATCACGAGCTTTAGCACATCCAGACATCTATAGGAAATAAGGGAAATATTAAATTCAAGATAAACTTTTCGCACCTAAGTGCTCCATTCTTAATCCTCATACTTATTCACCATGTAAACACACAAACTTCCCCATAAAATAATCCAAACAAGCACACAAACAGTCACATAAAAGTACACATGAGTTGTCCTCCCTAGATATTGGCTAATTTCATGGCAATCAAGGACCTCCAAGTGGAAAGAATAGTGATCAAGTGCCTTTCCAAAAGGATTTCGACAAATGCAACGGACAAAGCCACGTCATAGGAGTCTAACCCCATACCCATTTAATCACATAAAGACACATAACACCCAAGGTATCCTAAGCATTCCGTCTTAGCCTAAGGACCCGATTATGACATACGTCACTTCCCATGTGCCCAAGGTATTCTAGCCTATGGATTTGATACCAATTTGTAACACCCTGAAATTCTCACTGTAACATACCGTGGCAGCACAATAATTAATCCAAAAAGTCATCTTTCTCATTAAACTAAGAGTTAAAAGATTACAATTCAACTGGTACATTCCCATAATATCCGGGATTCGCTTTTCAGTTCAAAGAACTAGATGACCTTACAAAATATAAGCCCCTTGGGCATAAAACATCAAAAATAAAAAAATATCGACGGTCTTATTACAAAAATCCCAATTTAAAACAACCAACACACCCTTGACATCAGCTATCCCAAAAGAGCTATTGCTTGTACCAATCCATCAGTAAGGCTATACTTCCTCGACTCCTGAAAAATAGAATATGGTTGAGCTATATGCCCAATAGGAATACATTTAACTAAGTATTTAATCCTTTGAATGAGATTATGGCATCCATGCAACAAAACTTTACAAAGGAATTTATCTTCACAGGTAATTTTTAACAAATCATATGGATCCATGATAATCTAACACTAACAACAACCATTCATGTCATCAAGCATAACAATTAAACATTTCTCAGCACCCTAATTAAACATTCACAACCATATAAAGCAAGCTATAAGTTCACCTGCAAGAGTCTAATTGAGAACACCCGTTACTTTTATTTTAAAATCCACCCCCACATTTACTGGCTATTATACGGCGGAAGTGAGCACCCTAAAGAAAACAATCTATTTTTCCACTTTCACTGGCTATTATACGGCGGCACTATGTGGACACCCAAAAACATTTTTCCCATATTCGTTCAGCGATAAGCCTTGATAGGGCATTTGAGCACCTTTTAAACTCCCCGCGTGGGTACCACCATAACACCACATTTTCAAAGCTGACTTAACCCGGATTCATGCATCATTAACAATTCAATCACATTTTTCCATTTCCATCACAAGCATCCAACACCACCATAGATGAACACCACATAATATTCAAAGAATAATAACATCCAAGCCACAAGTCCTTTATTTTCAGTTCAAAGAACTAGATGACCTTATTACAAAATATAAGCCCCTTGGGCATACAACATCACAAAATAAATTCGACGGTCTTATTACAAAAATCCCAATTTAAAACAACCAACACACCCTTGACATCAGCTATCCCAAAAGAGCTATTGCTTGTACCAATCCATCAGTAAGGCTATACTTCCTCGACTCCTGAAAAATAGAATAGGGTTGAGCTATATGCTCAATAGGAATACATTTAACTAAGTATTTAATCCTTTGAATGAGATTATGGAACCCATGTAACAAAACTTTACAAAGGAATTTATCTTCACAGGTAATTTTTAACAAATCATATGGATCCATGATAATCTAACACTAACAACAACCATTCATGTCGTCAAGCATAACAATTAAACATTTCTCAACACCCCAATTAAACATTCACAACCATATAAAGCAAGCCACAAGTTCACCTGCAAGAGTCTAATTGAGAACACCCGTTACTTTTATTTTAAAATCCACCCCCACATTTACTGGCAATTATACGGCCGGAAGTGAGCACCCTAAAGAAAACAATCCGTTTTTCCACTTTCACCGGCTATTATATGGCGGGACTATGTGGACACCCAAAACATTTTTTCCATATTCGTTCAGCGATAAGCCTTGATAGGGCATTTGAGCACCTTTTAAACTCCCCGCGTGGGTACCACCACAACACCACATTTTCAAAGCTAACTTAACCCGGATTCATGCATCATTAACAATTCAATCACATTTTTCCATTTCCATCACAAGCATTCAACACCACCATAGATGAACACCATATAATATTCAAAGAATAATAACATCCAAGCCACAAGTCCTTTATTGTATCAACATCCACATCTTTTATCTCTTTATTATTCACAATATTCCATGAATCAAAAGAAATTCCATTCAATTTAGTGTTTTCTACTCAATTTGAGAATTTAGGGTTTTACCAAGTTTGAGGGTTTTTCTCCTTTATCATAGATATAGGTTTTAACAACATTTATATACATGTTTTGAAAAAAGGAGTTAAGAAATGTCAAGCAAAATGGTTTAGTTATGTAAAATATGAGTTTAATCCAACAAAACCCTCAAAATAACTCATAAATCACAACAATACCATGAAATCTCTTCAAAATAAAGAAATACTAAGGTAAAGGTATCCCTACCTCGAAAATCAAGCAAAGAAGTCAAATTCCTACAAGAATTTTTTGCAAACCCACAATCCAATCGGTAGACAATGATAATATTCGAGTGTTCATCACTCATAGTAAGAGATTTTGGTTGGATTTCAAGTGTATGATAGGTATTTTATGGTGGAGAGTTAGGGCTTCATAGAAAGAGAAAGAGGAAGAGGAGATAGAAGATAGAAAAAGAGAGATAAGAGAATGATCTAGAGTCATTATATTTAAAAAGCTGATATTATGAAGCTCGTTCGAGCGTGACTTCTTACGCTCGAGCGCCCAGACACAACTTGAAGGACTCGCTTGAGCAACAACTTCTCCGCTCGAGCAGAAAAAGAAAGGCCTCAGAAATTTTGCAGTGCTACAGTGAAACTACTGGAAGCTAGCATTCTATACTCGAGCGAAGCTTTCCTCACTCGAGCAAGCATGCCTGCACCCCACAAGATACTGGGAGCAACAATTCTGCTCTTGAGTGACACTTTCCTCGCTCGAGCGACCCACAAAAAAAAAATGTCACATAAACAGTCTTAACTATGGATGCAATGCCATGTTATGCTCCAAAAATTACAAGTTTTGTCCTTTAAAATCACATGCAATGCTCTTTTGAAAACACATTATTTAATTGAATTCAAAATACAAATACGGGGTGGTAAATATAACTCGGGTAATCCTTAGGTTGATGTTTGCAAGTAGGCATATCAAGCACTACAAATCGCTACTTTACTAGCTTATAACCAGAAGGAATATGGTACATGCTTCGCGTGCATTTTCGGTCTTTCACCATGGATACTCAAGCTAACTTAACAATACCAAACTACACCCCTTATCCGGATTTACTAAACGTATTTACCCAAAAACATTTCAAGATCTCAATTGTTTTCTCAAAACAATCACTTAATTTCCAAAATATAGCCTTAATAATCAATAATCAATATCCAAAATATAGCCTTAATAATCAATATGCCTTAAATTCGAAGAAACGTCCTAAGGTCGGTTAAGCAAAATTTGATTTTTAATGTCTTTTAGTTGATAGAGTAAGTAGTGTTGTAATAATATAACATAGTCAAGGCAGGGAAATCTCTAACCGCAGGTCAAAACACGTGGGTAAGGGTTGAACCTAGGCTCTGATACCAAGTTGTGACGCCCCAAAAGTCAGGAACATCAGATAATATATTAACCATTAAATACAGGGTTTATCTAAGGTTACAAGAGTATCAAACGTCATTAATGAGTCCTTTGGATAATAACCAAGTAAGATCCCAGGAAGGCCAGAGGAGTCAAAATAGCCACCCTTCAAAGTCCAACCACCTTAGATAGAAAAGCTACCTTTTTGACAGATCTTAACAAGGTATTAACATAAGGCCTACATGAGTTGACGGAGTATAAGGATAGGTTACAAATGTCATATATATACAATTACAAAATCATGTCTTAAATACAACATGGGATCTATCACTTACAATCTCAAAACACGTTTACAAACTAGTTTCTAATCCTCCTAGGGGTAGTCGTACGTCCTCAAATGCTTCAGCTTTGCCTTCGGCCGGTTTAATAGTCTTCAATACTTGGCATGAAATGCCATGAGCTTTGAATGCCCGGTAAACGCACACACACCCCATCCCTTTTTCCTAATCCAATACACCATCACATTTATAGCAAGCAAGTAGTGAAGCATGATATTCAAGTCAATAATAACAATTTCAATAATAGAGGAAAGGAACATATCATTCAAATAGATAACAAAGATTATAATGTTACTGGTTAGTATTCTAGAAATCCCCCAAAGAGATTTCATCCTCTCAACCACAAGAATTGGACATCGGACTATTCAAAACTCCCCATTTTGCTGCTTTGTTGCAGAACTAACCTCAGATGCCTACCAACGGTTATATACCTCGTAGCACCAACCGCAGGGCCTCAAAAAAGACAGCAAAAAGAAAAAGGTTTTATCTCTTGAATCCAACCTTATCCTTCTAAAAAAAGTTTTATACTGAATGTCCCATCCGGACCTAACCTTATCTCACCAATCAAACCATCGCAAAGAGTTCGAATACGTTTGTTCCATTCTAGGGTTTACGCAACAATCACTTGCGCAAGACTTAACCTCCAATTAGGGAGCACGTCCCATCAATCCATACATAACACATTATCATCTCTTCATTATTCAAGTGATCGAAAACCTAATACCATCCCAATTAAGTTTTCCGTTTGGATCAATGTTTTAACTCAAGTTGGAACAAACTCAACAAGATAGTAATATCTACACAAGCATGAGCATCATTAAAATGAAGAATATAAGGAACATAACCATAACACATGCAATATCATACCAAGACATGATCATAAACTAATAAGCATATTCATGTACATAAGAGCATAAAACACCCATGCAAAACTAAATTTCCAGATTCAATACCATTCAAAGATTAAAATCAAAAGGGCTATTTCAGATATTTCCCAAACCTAGCCTTCCTATGGTTCGTAGAGAATTTAATCTAGTTTTTAGAACATGTTTTGGAAATGTGATAGATTTTCTAGATTTTTAGTTATTTAAGAAATGTTCCAGCTCTGTCCAGATTCGTCGACCGTTACGAAAATTGGAGTTTCCCACAAATCGCTCACTCGTTTTCAATGAAACCAATTTTAGTTGAAAGATAACTCTTTAAGGAAGATTTTGACATAAAATGAAGGTCCAGAAGATGTTTATACATTTTTCTAGAAATTTCGAAATTTGGATGAAAAATAGATTGTTCTGGCACAGTTCTTGAAAATGGAAATTTGGTGAGAAAAGAGGTCAAATATGGGAAATTTTCCACTTATCTTGTGATGAAAACTTGATAAATAATTTGTATTAAAATCAGAAATTTAAGCTGAAGGTGTGCCTTTGGAAATTTTGAGAGTTTGATATGGAAAAAGGTAGTCTTATACTGATGAAGATAAATACAAGAGAGGTAGAATCAAGGCTCAACTCCTTTCATTTTTAACACAAGAATACCATCAAAACACATCTGAAGTGGATGTTTAAAACTGCTAAGAGCATGTATTTGAAAAAGGAAAATAAAAGAGAGAGTTGTATTGTGGCTTACTTGATTGCCTAGTGAAGTGTTTGCACAATTGTCTCCTATTTTCCTTTCCTCTACTACCAAAGTTCACTCTCTTCCTCTTCTTTCTTTCTCTCAATTCAGAAAAAATGGCCGGTGTAATAGTCTAAATTTGTGGAAAAAAATATGTAATTACCAAATGGCTTGTGCTTTCAAGAATTAGAGAACCTTTGTGCTGTGCAGACCAAGAGAGAGAGAGAGAGAGAGAGAGAGAGAGAACCTTATGCTGCAAGCACTACAAGAAAAGTAGCATATAACCACGCTTTTGTTATGGCGTTTTTTTAAAAAATGTCATTTTAAAGATTTTCAAAATATTTTTGTAAATAACTCATTTTAAAAAACACGCGTGCTTTTGGTGTACGAACATGTTTCCCTTTAAGACCCACGCGTTATTCATTCTTCTATTCTATTTCACGCAGCAATTGATAGATCTAGGTTTTCTATCTCTTCATCACTCCTCTTTCTTATGGTGAAAGGTCACTAGATCGAGCTTCGTAGGCTCTGATTCACGATCTGGTTCTCTCCATCTTGGCTCAAAGCTCTCAATCAGTCCGATTTGAAGATAAATTTTGTGAGTCCTCTGATTTTTTCATTGTTTATATACAAACTTAGATCTACGATCTCAAATCTGTTATATATATATACTAATTTATGTCTATTGATCGCGATCGATTTTTATTCTATTGATCGATTTTTAGGCAAATCTCGATTGATTGATTTTTAATTTATTGATCGTGATCGAACACTCTTCTCTGGATTTGATCGATTGATTGCTTTCGTTCAGATCTGTAAGTTTGAGTCCCTATGCGCATATTAACATCCTCAAACCAACTCTATTTCTGACTCGTTCGTGGTGATCTTTGCATTTGTGCTTTGTATGCAATTCTAGGGTTAGTCTATTGAGGCTAATCTCTATTGCGTTTGTGTATAGAGTCACAGAACCACCATCACAACCATACTGTGTCAATCTTTGTAGCAGCAATGTCTCTTTTCCTCACAATGGGTTTTGTGCATTGCAGACACCTGATTTCCACTCTGGTGAGTCTTCTTTGATTCCCTCCTTCCTTACCTTGCTTATGATCTGTCTGGCCCTGTCGTTTGTGCATTTGGTTTTTCTGCTACTTTCCATAAATTTTAATGTCTTCAAAAGCCATGTATCTGTGTGTTTGTTTATATGTGCATCAAAATTTTATTGGATTTTATCCGATGGACCCGCAGAGTACTTAGAGTGACCAAAATTTGAGTTTATGTTCTGCAGCTCCAATAACAAATAGGAGGAAAACCTTGGAAGAGGTAGAAAGATAGGCTAAAATTTGAGTTTATGATAGGCCAAAATTATTGACAAAATTATTGTTAAGATGATGGGTAGAAAGATTTACTTATCCTGTCTGCTGTAGTTATATTAATAGAATCAGACGATGGTTTGAGTTGGGACCAATTTAAAATTCAGTCTGTCTATTGGTTAATTTGGGTATTGATTAAATTTGATTTTTTCCAGCAGTGACCTCTCCGGAATATTGCATAAGCTTTCCCCAAAATTTTGAAGCTTTTTATTCTCAAGCATAGTTTTTGCTTTTGAATTTATTTGCATACTCATCTTAAAAGTCTCTAATTGCATTTCAATATTTCCATTTTATCCACATGGTGACCCTTTTTCTGAGATTTCTGTAGTTTTATTATTGCATCCACTTGAACTTTTAAATTTTATTTTTTGTTTTGTTTGTGTATTATTTATATCGTTCAAATATCGACCCGTTTGACTTTTTAAAATAAGAATACCACCTTTAGCATGGGTTAGTGATATCTGATTTATTTTTGTAATGTCGTCATAGTTCTGATGATGATCTACCTGTATCTGGTGATGAATCAATGCATGAAATTCTGCAAAAAGCTTTGTTGAGGACAATTCATGATATTGATACAAAATTTTCACTGGTAAGTATTCAGTCTTTACATTTTTCTTTCTCAAAACAAGTGTTTCTCATTAGTTTGTTGTGATCATCCTACATTCCCAGGAAGCTTTCAATAACAGATATATTTCTGGATCCACGGCCACCATCGTTCTCTTGGTGGATGGTCAAATTTTAGTTGCTAGTGTTGGTGATTCAAAAGCACTCCTGTGCTTGGAGAAAATCAAGTCTGCTTTGGGGGATGAAGGTCTAATTCTTCCCATTATTATCAAGTCCCTTTGTGGTTGGACTCACATTCACTAGGCACTACTAGATTAAAAAAATACACTTGTCTTGCATGTTATTAGCATATGACAACTAATCTACATGTATACCCATAATTAGAAGTCTTATTTCAAGCCATTTGGACATAGCAGGTGCTTCAATAACAGTGCTTGATGTGGAAGAACTGACAAGAGATCATCATCCAGATAGAGATGATGAGAGAGCCCGAATAGAAGCTGCTGGTGGGTTTGTACGTTTGTGGGGTGTGCCTCGTGTCAATGGTATCTTAGTTGTATCCCGATCTATTGGTGATGTGTACTTAAAAAGGTGAATTTTCGGAAGCTAAAGTTAGCTTAGTCTGCTCATCTTTTTCCTCTTCACTTTTTTATGTTTTGCTGTTAGTTCTGCTCTTTAGCCATCATCCTATGGTAATGATGAGAATTATGTAATTTTCAAATAGTTTTGGTGAGCCCATTGCCGATCTCTGATATTATCATTCTCTGTCAAACGTGTGAACTTTGCACTGATCATTATTACATGGCTGATATAACTAGGGATGAGACGTTTTTTCACAGTTTATTTTGTTTTTAACTATCAGATATGGTGTTAGTCCCGTGCCTGAAGTGATAGGTTGGCGGCATTTAACTGCCAATGATTACTATTTGGTTGTTGCATCTGATGGCATCTTCAAGAGTTTGAAACCACAGAAAGTTTGTGATCTTTTATGGGATGCAAATGTCCAAGTAGATGAAATGTCCAAAAGCTCATGTTCATGTTCATCCTCTTCCTCATTGGCTGACCGCATTGTCAACAAAGCGTTCAAGAAAGGCAGTAGGGACAACTTGTCAGCTGTTGTAATTCCACTGAATTTTACTGGTTTTCCCCAAGAACCCGCTGGACAGAATTTGTGATTTTGGAAAATCAGCCATTTTAGCCTTTCAAAAGGCATCTGCAATCAGATCGATATTCTTCAAGTTTCTACTTTGACAAACAGAGCATGTTTTTCATTTGCTCTGAAACTCATTTGAGATAGGATTGATAACTTTTGAAAGTTAAGAGTTTTAGAGTTTTCATGTACTATTGAGGTTTTGGAGTGTTTTTTTTTTTTTTATATTTTTTATAATCGCTACATTGTGGGTAGAATACTACCATGCTATGTTTGGGACCTAGGATTTGTTCAAGGGAAAGGAAAAGAATTTTTTTTGTCAATACATTTGAGTGTAGAATAATGATGTACTCGTGAATGTCCAGTTTAACATACTTCGCGTAACATTTGTAATTTTTGTAGCTCATCTCGTGTCGATTGATAATAAAAATAAAATAAAATCCAATTCAACCAATTAGTATATTGTCATTACTGTACAATATCGTAAGCAATGCAAAGCTAAAGACTGAATGCTTCGTCATTGCTGCTTCTATTTTGCAGGTTCTTATATAGAAGACCAGCTGACTTCAATGGAACCACAATGGTCGACAAGTTAAACATGCTGCCTTCTTCAAAGGCAGTCTTTACTATGCATTCGGCTGATGGATAATCGCAAGAAGGGAATAGCTTCAACATTTCATAACCTTTGGAATGCCTCACGGTTAGCTTTTCGTATATTCCCTCAGATGAAACCACTAAGTAGCTGTCGTTTCTAGTTAACTTTTAAGATGAGAGCTTATTGTAATGTGTTTCTGCTTGTTCAGACTTAAATTACGAATCTCTTCAAATTGTGTAATGTGTAAAGCATCATAATAGATTATATAAGTTAGTACTTTCTTTAATACTACATAAGCAAGAGTTAAACAAACCTCTCTTCTGCAGCAGAAATGAGACCAGCTGTCAAAGCAACACCACCAAACTAAAACAAATAACAGTATCATTAATTCTATGCCAAAACTAGTATATGTAAAGTAGTACTCTGGGCAATTTACACAAACTCCGAAACTAACCAGTTGTATGCTACAAAATAATTTTCTTTGGAGGTCTATACGCCCTGTCAATAGAGAACCAAACAGATAACTCTTGATGTAAATCTTCCCCTATGAGAGCATATCACTTTTGAAAGCAATCTACCTGTTGAAAGAATGCTCTTTGTGATAGCTTCTGCAAGGCCAATGCAATCTTCTTTCTTTGGTTTAGATTGAAAAAATGAGTAGCTGTCCCACATTGGGAACCCACTATTAAGGCTGGAATACGAACCATCTGACATATCACTTCTTCTTGGAAATTCCATATGCCATGTATCTTCCAGCATATCTTCATAGTCATTAAACCTAGTGAAGTAAAATCAGTATGTTAGAAGGTAGGAGAAAGAAAAAGGAAAAAAAGTAATTCAGCACAAGTAACTTAACAATGTAAAGCCATAAATCTTGAAAGTTACACACCAAAAACGGGGTGGAGGAGGATGCACATCTGGAACCAAAAGCATAGGGTAGAACAGACCCATAGGGGGAACCTATTTTAACAAACTATCAGAAAATAATTGCATTCTCAAAAAAACTGCATTATATTCTTCCTACTACAGAAAGACAGCCAAGCTGAACATTTATCAAGGAGACAAATGCAACAATATTAAGGTCCAAACAGACATACATTCAGAGCTGTTAGTCTGGTCTTATGAGATCCAGCAGGCATGCCATCTTCATATGAATGAACTACAGCAACAGCTTTGATTGAATTGGGTTTTATATGTTTCTGGGTTTTATATGAATGAACTACAGCACTGCCTTCTTGCTCAAACTATATCTGTTGATTCTTGTGGAATTCTTTGTTTAATATATACTGCAGGAATTTAAGTTCGAAGAGTACAAAGAGGTTAAGAAATGCTATCCTCATGGATTTCATGGAGTTGATAAGTATGGAAGACCACTACACATAGAAAGGGTTGGAATGGTAGATCTTAATGCCTTTTTGCAAATAACTACTATCGATAGATTTATGAAGTATCACGTGTCTGAACAAGTTATGAAGTATCACGTGTCTGAACAAGAGAAAACATTGAATTGGAGATACCCTGCATGCTCGGTATCAGCAAAGAAGCATATAGCTTCCAACACAAGCATCTTAGATGTGAAGGGTGTGGTGAGCAACTCAACTTGTTTCTATTTTTCAGTCTTATTTATGCAAACACATTAATTTGATAGTGTCTTTAGTTCTGTTTGGATGCTGAATATAGTTCTGATTGTCTTCAATAATTGGTTTGTCAAACAATTGTAGGTTTCATTATGTAAAAACATATGTTTAATCTTGAAAAACATCCTTGGAAACTAGGAATTATAATTATTTTCCATTGGCAGCGGTTACAGGTTAGATTATTATCATCATATTGTAGTTATGTACTATTCGCTTAAATAGAATTTTTAGAAAGAATGAATATAGAAGTTAAAACTTCGCGTTCAGATTTGATATGGAATGTTAGGAAAATGATCTACAGTGCGAATTATAAGCTGAACAAGAGTCACATGTTCAGCAGTCATTGGTTTGTGTGATGTGGGGCCGACACCTTTACAAACGACTAACAATGTAAAGCCATAAATCTTGAAAGTTACACACCAAAAACGGGGTGGAGGAGGATGCACATCTGGAACCAAAAGCATAGGGTAGAACAGACCCATAGGGGGAACCTATTTTAACAAACTATCAGAAAATAATTGCATTCTCAAAAAAACTGCATTATATTCTTCCTACTACAGAAAGACAGCCAAGCTGAACATTTATCAAGGAGACAAATGCAACAATATTAAGGCCCAAACAGACATACATTCAGAGCTGTTAGTCTGGTCTTATGAGATCCAGCAGGCATGCCATCTTCATATGAATGAACTACAGCAACAGCTTTGATTGAATTGGGTTTTATATGTTTCTGGGTATTCTTAATTTCTTATAGTCAGTACTTGGCATAGCTCTTATGTTTCTGGGTTTTATATGAATGAACTACAGCACTGCCTTCTTGCTCAAACTATATCTGTTGATTCTTATGAAGTATCACGTGTCTGAACAAGAGAAAACATTGAATTGGAGATACCCTGCATGCTCGGTATCAGCAAAGAAGCATAGGGTCTCTCTAATTTCTCAAAGCTTGCAAGGAATATCTTCACAAAAGTTCAAAAGATTGACAGCAATTATTATCCTGAGGTATGTAGAAAATGCCTTGAAAACTGCTATTCAACAGCAGTGGATAGGGTTCTATCATATGTAAACTAGAACAGCAGCGGATAGGGGGCATGACGATTACATGTATTTGGTACGTGCCTCAGTTCACCCCTTTAGAAAATATTCAAGTATTTAGTCAAATTTTGATCTTTAATGCTATAAAAACAGGTTGTGAATGTAATTTGGATTTTCATTTTTCAGGTGGCTAAGGAAAATGGAACGACTTTGCCTCCAACTGCATTGTTCATCATCCGATACCACTCTTTTTATCTTAAGCATTTATGCCAAAATATTTTTTTCAAATTCCAAAAATTAGTTTTATTTTAATGAATAACATGAATATCTGGGTCATTCATCTTGCAGCATTACACAAGTCAGGAGCATACACACATTTGATGAATGCGGATGATGTTGAGAATTTGAAGTGGCTGAAAATTTTCAAGTAACCCCTGTTTTTTAGCATTTTGTTTTTAATTTCTTGTGTTATGCCAATATAACTAACAAAGTTTACTGTTTTGCATAAAATTTCTCGAATTTACGCAGCAAATATGACCTCTATAGTAAGAGCAAAGTGCGCATTGATGTCGAGAAGGTCAAGCCATACTATCGTTCTCTTATTGAGAAGGTGAGCACTACACTAGTCAGGAAACTAGGTGTGTAGAAACCATTTACAGAACAGTTCACTCACAAGGAGCATCTTATGAGTTCCGTGACTGGTTTCTATGCACATCTATTTTTCGAATTTTTTCTTTTTTTATCTTGATTTTTCGCATTCTTAATTAGTGAACTTTTTTTTGCAGTATTTCCCAGCCAAGCTGAGATGGTGAACATTCCAAATTGAAGACATTGATTTGAGAAATCACAGATTTTATTTTATTTTTCTTTTTGTGATTGATTCATGCACTTGTATAAAACACAACAGAGATTTGTGGGTTCTTTGTAAATCCTCTGATGTGTTCTAGTAAAAGTGTTATGTAAGTGGGCTTTTTACACATTCAAGGTTTGATCATTCAAGGATAAAGATTCAAAGGCTTGAACATCATGGCAGGAGGTGTTCTTCTTTCTAAATTAAAATTATTTTAATTCTCACACGAAATACTTCAGTGTTAAGGTACAATGATATGTAATAATAATTAAACAAGATATATGTATAATCCACCCAATTTATTTGTATCAAGTATACAAAAAAAAAAAATTATATATATATACATCTATTGCGGCGTTTCTCAAAACGCCACTATAGTTATATTTTTAAAATAACAAAAAAGCTATTACGACGTTTTTGAAGTGTCGCTGAATGCCTGTGACGTCATGTTACCGTTGCCTGCCATATTTTAGCGGCGTTTATAAAACGCCGCCTATACTAATTTTACGACGTTTTTAAAACGTCATAAACTTATAGCGACGGCCGCGTCCTCGACGTTTGGTGGTAAGCGTCACTAAAGAAATTAACGGCGTTTTTCATACAAAACACCGCTAAAAGTCATTTTTCCAGCAGTGGGGGACGAGCAAAATTTGGAAACATGCGATTAAGATGCAATCATATGTGATTAATAGGTAATAGATTATTTTACCTACAATAATGGAAGAAGGATAATCGTGAAATTTCATATGGTTCATCTTAATCAATTAATATCACCACACTAAGATACAAATAAACACACTTCATTTTACATTTTCAATTTAATACCACTGCATTACTAATCTCATTCAATTGTACTATACTAATAATTTCATCCACCACAACTATTTCTTCTCTTTTTCAGCCTACAATCTACCCGTGCTTTCTTGCTGTTTCTCATCCTGAAGGTCTTTTTTTTTTTTTTTTTCATCTATTTTTTAATGGTACACATGAAGTTCTCTTTCTCATTATTATTATTTTACTGAATTAATCCATCCAAATTTTATTTGGGATGTGGGTTAATTTTTTGATTTTTTTAACTTTTTAATTATTTTAGGATTGGTTTGGCATAAACTATAAAAGTCAAAAAGTTACTAAAAAAATTAAAAAATCCATATTATTTGGGAGAAGTTTGTGGGGGAATCATAGAGGACAAAATTATTATTTTGTCTTCTAAATTCAACAATCCAAAAATCAAGTCAAAAAGTCAAAATGGTAGAATGGTCATTTTTCTTTTACTATAATATTTTATTACATATTTTTTCGTAAAAAGTTAAAAAATTATCCCAAACATACATCTTTTGTTTCTTTATTTTTTTAGTCAAAAAAATCAAAAAGTACACTTATATAGTACATTCTAAAAAAGTTTCATTTGAGAATTTTTTATTGATTTTTTATGACTTTTGTAAAAATAATAATAATTATAATTTAAATATGACATTTTACCTTCTAAATTTTTTAATTTAATTTTATCAATTTATAACTAAAATAGTTTTTAACTTTGAAATTTGATATGCCAAATGAGTGCATGTATGGTTGAGTTGAGTTATGAGACAGTTCCATGAAGAAACCTCTGGACTGGGAACTTGTAAATTTGTCAGTTTGTCCTTGGAACCTCCAACTACGATAGGGCGGGAAATGAAAGAAATTAAAAATTATGTGTGAATAATGAATCATACTACTATATATATATATATATATATTTGAAATGTGTAACTATAGACAAATTATAACGTTTACGGTATTAATTATCAAAAATATGTAAGATTTGTTGAGTATTTCATTTCTGAAAAACATATATTAATCGGATATAGATATATATTTGATCAGATCACATTTGTATTAACAATTTATTTTAAAAGCCATACTATGCATGGACACAAATATAATCTGATTAAGTTGCTATTAACATTGGATCATCGTAATTTTTTGTAAAGATAAAATATTTGACAAGTTTTACATATTGAACAGGTAGGATTATCGATATGAGCTCCGTAGTAGATCTACGGAGGGCCAACAACACCCTCTAATTCGATTTGGACCGGAGAGAAACCTCCTCTAAATAAAAGGGCTTTATTAATTTTTTTAGTTTTTTACTTTTTAATGACTTGCCAGACGAGCTACTTGCCAGACGAGCCTCAATAAATCTTAAAAAATAAAAAAAGAATAATGGTATACAAATAACAAAATTTATAAATAAAATTTAAAAAACTATGAATAATTGGTAATAACTCCATTTATGTAGGGGATATGACATTTCTTCCAAGGATTGATCAAGATTAATGAAATTGTTTAATAAGAATAATAAATTATTATTTTGAAGAAATTTTCACCCCACTATCCCTAGATCACCGCTAGTGCCGGAAAAGTCACTACTAGTGGCCGATGACAGTCACTGGTGGTGGTGATATGAGAAACAAATTAGGTGGATACATGGATGGCACATGGACAAACATGAAGATAACAAGTAGACAAATAGATGATACTTGAACAAATAGATGGGTTTGAGGTATATACTGCAGCCACTGTTGGACAGCCAATGGAGCTCTTTTTAGGTCTTATTTTGACGATACGAACCGTTCACTTTTTAGAAGTTATCAAGTAGAATATACCTGAAACAATTCAAGTTAATCAAACATTGATATCCCTTTCATCAAGATATATTTATATCTAAAATATTGAATAGTAAATTTAATTTTAAGTATAAATTTAAATACAAACATGACTTGATGAATGGGATATCGATGTCCGATTAACTTAAATTTTTGCAACCATACGCTACGCGACATCTTCTAAAAAGTGACGGTTTTGATCGTTTTACTGAAGTCTGGAAAAGATTCCATTGGCCACGCAACAGTGGTTGTTGCATACCATGCGCAGTAACTGCCTCAAGTTGCAGATAGATATGAAAGAGAGATAGATAGATGGACATTTAGGTGATATGAACAGTAGACAAACAAACAAATAAATATAAATAATATAATATTTTCAAATTATTTTTTCATTTTTATCCCAAAAGATTAGACCTTTAGGCAGTTATCAAAAAATTTTAAAATTAAACTTATTGCCGAGTTCTCAAAAATTTACTCCAATAGTGCAGCATGTGCATTACTAAAACTTTAAAGTACTCCATATGGGATCCATTACAATTAATATGATTGATAGATAGATATTAGGTTGTCGATCTTAGGGATAAGAACAATGAGAGTTTCATTAACAGAATCAGGAATGGACTTGCTATGGAAGCAAGCATTAACAAACTCACACACAGACTTGCCAACAATACTCCAGTAGTTATGATAGAATATAGCCTGGATACCATCAGTACCAGGGGCTTTAAAAGCAACAATATTTCTCACTGCTTGAAGAATTTCGAGGTTGGACAAAGGCTTCAAAAAGCCATCGTTATCTTCCTTAGAGAATTTAGCAAGGGTGACATTATTCCAGTGATCTAAATGTTGGGTGTCACTTTTAGTAAAGAGGTTCTTAAAATAGTCAAGGATGAGACTTTTAACCCCCTCAGTGTCACTAACCCAATTACCATCATCGTTCTTAAGGGCATTAATTTTAAGCTTGCGTCTTTTATTCAGAGTGGAGATATGAAAATACTAGGTATTTTTATCTCCAAGGCTGATATGTTTGGATCTAGATTTCTGGAACCAAAGCATTTCCTCTTGGAGCAAAGTCTCATTGTAGTCTTTAATAAGCATGTTTTCAAGATTTTGAAGATTGTGTGTGAATTTTTCAGCAAGATCTTTCTGAGTACCCTCAATGCTAGCGAGTAGTCTCCGTTTGCGTTTAAAAATGTTACCAAATACCTTCTTATTCCATTCAGTAACTCTATTAGTAAAGACAGCAGTAGAGTCAAGGAATTGATTGTTCATACAGTGCCAAGAGGATTTAATAACATTAATAAGGTCGGGATGACACATCCAAGCAGCCTCAAAACGGAAGGGCCTATTACGGGGGTTTAAAGTGTGCATACCTTGAGTGTAGACGACAAGAGGGGAGTGATCAGAATAAGTTCTAGGAAGAACTCTAACTGTGGCTTCGGGAAACATGGTCCTACATTCCGCATTACACAGAGCTCGGTCGAGTCTTTCCATGGTGTTAGCTATACCTTGTCTATTGTTCGTCCATGTCAGGCGAGGTCCGGAACTGCCCAAGTCAATTAGATTACAGTTATTCACCCGATCGAGAAATTTTGGAGTTCTACTGGTATTTTGGCTAGTTGAGAAACTCCTTCTTTCACTTTGATTAGCGTAGTCATTAAAGTCTCCAGCCACCAGCCAAGGTTGTGGCATAGAATGTGCGACATCTTCAAGGTCCTACCAAAGCCGTTCCCAAAGGCTGGGGTTGGGACTGGCATAGACAGCAGCCAGTACCCATTCCTCATAATCCTCCTTATGTACAGTAGCGTGAATAACTTGTGGACTAACTGTAGAGGCTCTAACATTCACTTGGCTTGTATCCCAAACAATCCATATACCCCCACTCTGCCTACGGGATCAACCGTAGATGAGGCAGTCAATCCAAGTTGATTAAAGAATTCACTCATGGTGCTGAAGGCCACCTTGGTTTCCATGAGGATCAGAATCTCTGGTTTATGGGTCTTGACAATTTCCACAAGATTATGTTTAAATTTGTTATTGCCAGCACCGCGGCAATTCCAGAATAGAAGACGGATTAAATCCATAAAAGGGAATGATGGGGGGTGGTACCTTCGAGGTCTATGATACTACGTATTCTCCAATGGTTGTCCTCCGTTGATCTGAGAGAGGCCATCTGCACTGAGTGGACTGGATGTGGTCGATTGTCCCCCAAACTTGGCTCGATGATCAACCGAATTTGTTCTATCAGCCAGTCGAAAGCAACTAGGTGAAGAGCTTCGTTCTCTGGTTCTAATAACAGCCCCACCGAGTTGGTCTGTCTTAGATGCTCCTCTACATGAAGTCTCTGAGCCTCTGAATTCGTTACTTCTTCCTTCTCCATTGTGTTGTTCTCCTAGGTCGGGGGGTTCTCTTTTTTGTAACAATGGGTCCGTGAGTACTGGAG